CTGGGAAGAGGCACCAGTGTCTGGCTGTCACAGGCTGCCTTCAGGGACCCACAGATCCGCCCCGTGGGTTGGGTACAGCTGTGTCCCACACAAGGTGGCCACTCTGTGCAGGGGGACCTCATCTGATGCTCCTGCTTAGGGCGTCTCTGGCTGGCAGGGAGCAGAGCATGGCTCTTCTGTGGGGTGGTATCAGGGGGTGTGGGCTGGAGGCAGAGCAGGCGCAGGGGACGCAGTACCAACCCAGGGCAGCTGCAGGTGCATACCTGTGCAGAGGTTCAGCGGTGCCATCTTGCGCTAGCGCATCACACGACTACATAACCGACTGGGGCTGTGACACCCACGGTGAGGAAGAGCTGGAAACGGCGCACCACGGCAAAGCTGACACAAGGGGCCACCCATTACGTGGTCCCATTTGCATGAAATACCTGCTCCAAGGAAGCCCAGAGGCAGAGGCAGGTCGGGGGTCACTAGAGGTTGGGCAGGGGTCAGGGCCACCATCAATGGGCATGAGGCTCCTTTCCATGTGGGGACATGCTCTAAATTGAGGGTCACAGCTTCATAACTCTGTTGTATGCAAGGAGTGGGGGCACTGGATAGGAGGCGAATTGCATCTCAGTAAAGAGGCAAACAAAAGCCCCAGTGTGGCCAGAGGGCAGGGAACAGAGCACTCCATAGCGCTGCCCAGCTTTGGGTGAGGCGTGGGGGTGCACCGCTACATGGGCTGGCACCCTTGGATCAGGTCAGAGTTCCTGATGACCACAGGCCCAGTCTGGCCCGCCTTCCACCAGTGTCATCTGCATTTATCCTCCCCCTCTCCCGACCTCCAAGCTCCCCAGCACTGCCGCCCGTGTCCCTGGCAACTGCACTCCACCGGCCAGCCGAGCAGCTAGGAGAACAGAGGAGGGAGCCGTGGGGCAAAGGCATGGTCTGCAGGCATCTGAAGGATGGCTGGCACTTGCTGCTGTGCCGCCTGGCTCGGGCCAGCACAGGGCAGCCACGTGCACACCAGACCACAGCCAGAGATTCGGCACCGTGCATCTTCCCAGACACTGGGTGTGCAGAGAAGCACAAGGAACCCATACAAGCTGCCGGCCAAGCCTCTGGCATACCACAAGCTATTTCTGAGAAGAGAACTGGGAGCACTTGCTCTGTGCTTTCGAAAATGTTTCTCAAGGAGAAAAAGTGAAATAGAAACGTTTCAGAATTTTTTTCTCCAGCAGTTCTCCAGGAAGATGCACGTGAGTGGGCACATGCTGCTGGGAAAGGGAAGGAACCCAGACGGCTGCACTGGGGGCCATCCACACCTGTGTGCTCGGCTGTGCTTGGAGCGCTTTGGCTGGTGGTGGTGGGCAGGGGGCTGTGCTCAGGAGTGGGAGGCGAACTGTGTCCACAGTGACGCCTGAAAGGGTGGCTGCCACCTGCCTAGGATGGGGCAAGCCCCCACCTCATTACCTCGCTATCCCTCCACACGGCTCCTCACGTGTATCCTTTCAGCTCCGTCTGGCACCACCACCTTCGGCAGCTGTCCCTCACTCTTGGCACTCTCTACCAAGATTCTGTCTGTCCTGTCACCTGACCCCACCACCAGGATGCCTGGGCGCTCCTGGGCTTCCAAGGTACATGCGTCCTCTCAGGCCCCGGCAGCCACGGACACTGATGGAATCCACCCATGTCCCGGTGTTCTCACTGACACTCCTGTGAGCATTCTGCAGAGAGCGGGACAGGCCCCAGGTCTCTGCTGCACTCCACACCAAGCAAGCACGGTGCTGTTGTCACTGCATGTGAAGGTCAGGACCCCAGATGCAAGGGCACTTATGCTCCCAGGGAGCCCAGACGCAGCCCCATGTGCAGCTGGAAGACAGCTGAGGGCGCATCCTAAAGCAGGTCCCCCAGCTCTGCCTGAGGGGAGCCACACCATCCCCAGGGACCGGGAGCCTCTGAGCACCACATGCTACACTCACCTGGAAGCCAAAGCAGATGGTGGGGAAGACACTAAACACTGACGTCCAGGAGGAGGGGCTGCGGACAGACAGGGACAGGTGTTTGGTAAGTGGTCAGACTCAGGTCACCTGCAAGGGGGAGGATGCCTCTAAATGATCCCAGGAAGATGTGACCAAGTGTGGCTGTGAGACATGTTCCTCATGACTATGTCCCTGACACGACCTTGTCATACAGGAGAGAAGAGGATGCTTTTTACATATTGCACTTTGGAAATACACCTTTGCTGAAGTTCGGTGACATGGCAGTCACCAAGGTCTGTGAGGGCCAAGGCTATTGGGGCTCCTATGCTCCCTCCTGGGCATCTGCTCCCAAGGTGGCCAGGTGCAAAGTGGGGGCATAGGCAGCTTCTGTCCAATGAAGCCCCAATATTCTGTTCAGCCAAGAGGCCAGAGGAGCAGGGTACAGCCCTAGGGTCAAGTCCCCAGGTCTCCCTCAGTGGTCCTGGCTTTGGACAAGCTCCTTCTGTGCCAGGCTCTCACACCAAGAAGGGACACACAGTACGCTGGGACATGAACAGCATCCCCTGCAGCCAGCGTTCCCTGGATGCAGTAGACCAGCATCCTACAAGATGCTCACTGTCTAACCCTACACATGTGTTACCCTCAAATGTCAAAAGGACTCCAGGCATGGTTAGAGACCCTGAGGCAGAGTCCCCTGGGCCACTAAGGTGAGCCCAGGGGCACAGCACCCTGAAAGAGAGCCCCACCTGGCTGTGGAGGGACAAAGGGAGCTGTGATGGGGGCAGAAGGCAGACACACACAGGTGGCTGCTCTGAAGAGCAAGGGGCCACAACAGGTGGCCACAACAGGTGGCCGCAACAGGTGATTTTCCCTGGAGCTCTGGAAAGCACCAGCCCTGTCTTCCCCTTGAATCTGCTCTGTGACTCTCAGATTAGACTTCTCATGTGCATTAAGCTGCTAACCATGTGGTCCCTTGTCACAACAGCCACAGGCCTCGGAGCCAGAAGTGCTCCTGTTCTATGCTGCTCTGTGGCACAGCCGGGGTGGCTGGGCTTCCTGGTCATGAGATGCCTGTGTTTCCACACTCTAGCTGTCCACCTGCCGAGTGGGCATGGGCTGGGCCCTCCCCGTCTGACCCTCCTGTGCCCAGGCAGTAGTGGTGGAGCCCCAATGTCACACTCTCCTGCCCCAAGGACACAGGGCAGCAGCCATCGGCTTGCTGCGCCACCACCTCTGTCTCTGATTATGCCCCTCACCCCCAAAGTGCTCTGACCTCTGACCCCACTCCCCGCTGCTCTCCTGCCCCCATGTCTTTTGCCGTCTCCCCTTTGAACCTAACTCACCTTGGCCCGGCCCCACCTGTCCTGAGGTGGCTCATCATGGCACCAGGGACCTTCATGGGCAAATCTGATGCCCTGGTGGCTGCTCACTCAGACCTCCCTCCAGCATTATTTGCCAGCTGCAGGGACACACTCTCTTACGCCCATACCTCAGCATCAGCCTTGCTTAGAACGGGGGCTTTGTAGAGGTGATTTGCTAGATTAGGCGGGGTGGCACTGGGTCTGAGTCGGGCCCTCTTCCTGTGACTGGGGCCCTCATAAGAAGAGATGCTTGAGGGGTGACTCGGAGGTGGCAGTAGCCTGGAGAACAAGGCTTCTGCGCCTCAAGGCAGGCAGCACTTCTGCAGAGCAGGGCAGAACCTCCCTCCCACTCAGGCGCCTGGGTTTTGGACATCAGCTGTAGAGCGGACAGGAACTCCTAATAGGATGAACCCTCCAGCAGGGCCCATTTTGCAGCACGTCTTACCCTGTCTTGTTACCTTCTCCCTGAGCTCCTCGATTGGAAGCACAGGATCTGGGCAGAGTCCCCACGCTCTAGGTCTCTAGCCCAGCTTGGCAGACTGCAGGGGCCAGGGGCCCTCTGGAGACAGCCTGTCACAGCCCTGCTGTGGCCAAAATAGCTTGCCTGGAGGATCCACCTCCCAGCACTCCTGCCCTGGCTCCAGCTGGCCCACCCACCCTTTACTGTTCCCCGTGCACGCATGCGTGGTGCTGTGTCCAGCCCCTGGGTTCCGCCTCCTCTGCATCTTCAGCACTTTTATGTCCCTGCTCTTTCTGGAGAAAGGGGGCTTCCCCCTGGTGTTCCCACACATCAGAGACACACAGGCCCCAGGGGAGCTGTGGAGGGCTCCTTCGTCCTCCGAGGCCCCTGCAGCCTTGGAAAACCTTCCCACACACTCACCTCTGCAAGGGGCGGGGGTCATGCTCCAGGCCCTGAGGCCAGAGGTAGTACTGCGTGGTGACGACCAGGGCCAGGTAGCAGGCAGCCAAGGTGCCTAGGATGCTGACATAGTTGGGAACAGCGTCAGGGGCCTCCTGGGTGACACACGTGGCCAACATGGGGGAGTGCAGCATGTGAGCCCCAGGACAATGCCCCCACACCTTGTGCCAGAACCTCTGTCCCTTTGTGGCGCTCAGGCAGCCATGCGCTGGCACAGAGCTGGACTGACGGGACCCTCCTGGCGCCTGGCAGCCTCGAAGGCGTCAGCAGCGATGCCGCTTTCTTCCCAGGACAGGCAGCCAGCACTCGGGCTTGGCGCCAAGTCAGAACACAGACAGGGCCCCTGGCTCAACCTGGAGGGGCTGCCTGCTGGAGTCTTCAGGGAACACCCACTGGTCCTACACAGTGAGGGAAAGGTGGCAGTCCTGGGGTGGGACCGGGGCCAGGCTTCAAGTGCAGGGAAAGCCGCATGACAAGAGCGGAGAAGAGGCCTGCACAGTCTGAGTCTGCGCACAAAGCCTCTAACAGCTGTGTAACAAAACGAGATGTGACACTGATTCTTTTTCCCCTGGGTTCCTATTCCTTGTAGGATTTCTCATTTTTTCCCTTCTCCAAACTGGAGGTCCAGGACTGAGGTTCCCATAGACTCCACTGTTCAAGCACAGGCCCTAAGCGGTGTAACGGCCCTGCTGTGGGGTGTGCAGCCCACATACCTGGTGTATTTCTGGAAGGCAATCTCCCGCGGCATGGACAGTGGCAGGATGACCAGTGCAGAGAGGAGGGACAGTGCAAAGCGCTGGGAAGCGAACCAGGGCTGCTGGCTGCTGGGCAGGAGGACATCGAACACTGCCAGGAACGAGGCAGAAACTGAGCTGGGAGCTCAGGGGCTGCCTGAGGTCCAACTGGAGCCACCATGACTTGCCTGATGGGACACTTGGGGTCCCTCCACACAGCCTCTGTCAGCCCAACTGTTGCCTGTGGCGGCCGGAGGTACTCTAGAGGCCAAGGCTATAGAAGCCAGGCTGAGAGCCAGATGGGGTCCTAGCCCCTGGACAGGATGGCAGGACAAAGCTGTGTAAGAGGCCACCCAATTAAGGGCCAGAGACACAAAGTTTCGGGGAGGGAGAAGCCAAGAGTCTGGGGCTGTTCTTATTCTGCCATCAGTGGATGGTCACTGTGGAGCTGATCTGAGAGGCAGGACAGGTGGGGAGAGAGTGGGGAGCCCTGGAGCCCTGGAAGGCGGGCGGCCAAGACCCCACTGGAGAGAGGGTGGCTTCACTGACTGAGGTCAGCTGCACATGGTGGTAGCCTTTCTTTGTTCTAAACAAAGATGACTGACCTTGCAAAGAAAGGCCTGGAGAGTAGCTCATCTGCTGAAAAGATCCAGGAGCCACGCTGCCATACAGAGCCATCCCTGGGAAGGCCAAGCATGCCCAGCTGGAGGCCCCGGAAGGATGTGGGTACAGAAGGCAGCAGCTGCTGAAGGGCACAGATTCCACACCATGCTGGGCGGGCCCAGCACCTCCTACCTGCTGCGCTCACCTGCTGTCCAGAAGCTCTGCCCTGAAGTGGGGGCTCCCCCAGCTCCATCCCAAACCTGAGACTTTAGGAAACTGCTTGAGGTCCTTAGCACCCAGGTCATAACTCCCTAACTTATGCAACACTCCTCCCAAACACCTCTATTAACATCTTGCCAAAGATGGACACAGCCCCAGGCACCCGCCAGCAGTGTCCTCTCCACCCCACCCACACAGACCTGGGGCTGGGGCTCCCACCCCAGCACGGACTTGAGTCACAGTGCTCTGACACTGAGCCTCAGGACCTTTGTCAACACAGCTACACTGTCAGCTCCCCAGAGCTGAAGCTTGGAGAACACTCCATGTGCCTCTGGCCGGCAGGGCACTTCATGAACATCCAGCCAGCCAGCGGCTCAGAGATGCCAGCCTCTGTACTCTGGTAGTAACAGACAGCTTCCTAAGCCCTGGCAGCCTTCATTCCAAAATCCCACAGCAGGGCCTTTTCATGCATGGGTCAAAAGAGGAAAAAAAAAAATAGCAAAATGGGAGACATACATTCAATCCTATCAACAATTACATTCCAATTACATGTACACACTCCAATTAAGTCTGAGATTGTCAAGATGGTTAGAAGTACAAGATTCAAGCATATTCGACCACCTATAAGAAATGCATTTTAAAATGCAGAACCATAATCAGGTCAAAGTACAAGCACAGGAAAGATCCCCACTACCTCAACACGCGTCCTAAGGAAACTGGGCTGGCCCTCGCTGCAGCAGGGAAGGCGCTAACTGTGGCCCTTAATGCCAGAGAGAAGGCAGACTACTGCACAATGAGAAGATGTACCTCATCACAGGGCCTTGACAACCATGAGGCAGAGGCCAATAAAATTAAAGGGAGAGCACCAGAAACTCTAATTTCTAACAGCCCTCTCTTAGATGTTGATAGAATAAGAATGAAATTTTTAAAAAGCCAATAAGGCTTCTAAGGAAGAACTAACTAAACACAGGTGTTGACGCCATGATCTAGGACTGTCTACCAGCACTGCAGCCACCGCAGCACGCGCATCTGGAGAGCGCCCCGGGATGCTCGCCAGGCCAGCCCGTCCTGGGCCCAGCGCCTGAGCTGGAGGGCCAAGCTGCAGCTGTGTGGCGGCGCACTTCCAAGCTCGCAAGGCCGAGGTGCCGGCTTCAGCACAGGGCGCCCTCCTCTCTGATGCAGAGCTGGGGTGGCCCTTAGCAACTCCCCAAAATGGAAATTACGCTCAATTCCAACATCCCTACATCAAAGACGACACTGCAGCTAAACTTAACAAGTGGCACGGAAACAAAAGCAGAAGGTGCCACTGAGGGGCAGCGAAGCAGGGCCTCAGGGGGCGCCGTGGGGCACTGGGCCAAGGCTGGGCCCCCGAGTCAGCCCGCCGAGGGCAAAGGTGCTCCCGGGGGTCTCGGCAGTGGCCCTTGCAGGAGGCTCCGTTTCCCCATCCACAAGGCGGGCGGTCTCCCTCTCACACTCCCTGTTATCCTGCTGGTGACCAGCGGGTCTCCCCTGGGCCACATCTGGAGCTCAGGTGTGGTCTTGCCTCTGTGCCTTCCTGGGGCCCCTCCACCCAGTGCCTCGTGCCCTGCCATTTATTGGGGACCCAGGTGTCACTGCAGGCTCTGCACCCTGGCCACCCGTCCTCCAGCAAAGGTACTCACGCTTCTCTAGCTGGTCCCCGATCACCCTGAGGAAGGCCACAGAGATCATGAGCAGGTTCACGATGAAACAGGCCTCGCATAGCTTCCCCATGGTGGCACCACACAGCCCTCGGACCACGCCCTGGTAGGTGTCCTGGCCGCTGACAGAGGCTGCGTAGCCCAAGGTGATCAGCCCGCTGATCAGGAACACCAGGGAGACCTGTAGAGCCAGACAGTGGGGCTGGGCGCACCCACAGCCCACGGCAGATGCACCCTACACATGGCCCTGCTGCTGCAGGAGGCACGGCCCTGCCTACCTCTGGAGCTGCACAGCAGATAAGCCTGGGTCCTGACACCCTCCTGCCTCAGCGGAACACGGAGACCAAGGAAACTCAGCATTCAACTATCCTTGATATCACCTGGGTTGTGGGCACAGAGGGCACGGACAGGACAGAGGCGGAGCAGGCACACCTGGTGTGGAATCAGACTCGACTGCACTCGGCTGTGTGTCGTAGACAGTTCCACTCAGCCACCTGGAAGTGGGTTGGCCCTGCCCACCTCCCAGGGAAGTGGAACTCGCAGGTGCGCTCAGCTCAGCCCTGCCGGGGACCAAGTGCACCAGATGGGGGGCGTCCTGCTCGTGTCCTCCTAGGACATCTCAGTGGTAGCTTAAATACAGTATTCTCCCAGCGTTTATCGTAAATATCTTCCACACATCAGGGAGGGAGATTTCCGCAATGAACGCTCACAATCCACAGCCGGGTTCGTACCATGAACAGGTGCTAGTACCCGTTTCATCCCGTCTCCACCTGCGTGGCACCAATCCATCTGAATTTGACTTTTCTGCAGTGTTAGGATGGAACCCAGGCCTTTGCACTGAGCTACATCACCAGCTCTTTTAAACACTGAGACAGGGTTTCCCCTAACGGGCCCATCTTTCTGCCTCAGCTGCCTCTTCGTAGCCGAGATCACAGGTGTGAGCCACCGCTCCCAGCTGGTTCCGGACACCTTTGAAGGTGAAGGTGTCAGTGTCTTTCTCTTAAGTGCTCCAGCACGCCCACAACAACACCAGCCCCATCCTTCTTCCTCGTGGGTTCAGTTCACGCAGGACATGCAGACTCTGTGATTTACTGGGCACGACAGACACACGTGTGCTCCGAGCCCCGTGGCACAGGCACCACCACACCCTACTCCAGCCCTAGGGCTCTTCTCAGCCGGTTTCCCTAGGGGAAAGCACTGACCTGACATCTTTGTGCCTTTGGGCACCTTCAGACCTGGCTTATTCCCTTGGTGTGGAGCTGGGGAGACACGTGCTCATGAACACCTCGTTGGGTGGGCCAGAGCCTAACCCCCACCTCTCGTGGGCTCAGAGCCCCTCACCTCCCACCAGCCGTCTCGGACACCCTGGGTCATGTGCAGCCCCGCATGTGACCTTCCCGCCGCTCCACTGTCTGACACTCTCAGTGACCCTCGTGTCCCGCCTGACTTCCCATTAGACCACAGCACCAGGAGGAGTGGCTTGCTCCTGTGGCACACCAGGCAAGGAGCAGCTGAGCAGCTCCTAAGGGTGTGATGGGACACGGCCAAGGCGGAGCCAGGGTCCCACTAGATGTTAGAACACCCACCCCAGCCAGCAGTTCTGTGAGAGCCTGGGCGGAGCAGCACAGAAAACTCCACGGGGCGCTCACACACCCATGTGCAGCAGCTCTTGCCCTGTGACCAGCCTGACCTCCGGGGAAGACTCGAAGTGGCAGAAGGGCAGACACCTCTGTACTCCACCCAGCTTAGCCTGGGTTCATGGGCAGTGCCACGCCTGTGCCAGGCTCTGTCTGCACATCGGACTGCAGCTGGAGGGTAAGCGGAGACCAGGTGGCTCCCTCCTTCCTGGTGGCAAAGGCGGATTTATGGACGGCACAGAGGCTTGTACCTGTGAGCCGCTGGCTGTGGGTCCAGCGCACTCACCTCTGAAGATGACCTGCTCTGCCTAAGACCACAGCGGGATGCCATCCCCATTATGGGGTGGGGCCGGCTCTGCATTAGTTCTGTCAAGAATCCCACCCAGAAAAGCTGCAGCCACATCCCCAGTGCCCCAAGAGCCCCCTGAATCTTCCCAGGGACTTACCAGCTCCACCAGGAAAGCAGGCGCCACGCCCCCCGCCTGGTGGAAGGCCCAGGGGAAGTTGAGCAGGCCGGCCCCTAGCGTGGACTTCGACAGGATGAAGACAGCGCCCAGTGAGGACAAAGTGGGGGTGGCCGTGGCAGGAAGGGGCTTTTCTCTAAGGCTTCTGCTTCCTACCATCTCTTCCTCCATGGCTGGGGCCAGAGAGGGCTGCAGAGAAAGGCAGTCACCACACTCCCTATCCCCAGCTCAGTCTCGCTCCTGAGATCCAGCAGGCTTCTCTCCCCAACTCTGCAGGAGCCAAAGCCTCTCGCCCTTCCCTCTGCCCTGGCCCCACTTTCCAAAGTCAGAGCCCAAGGTATTTGCCCCCATGACTTCCAGCCCTTATGCTTTTCTTACAGTACCTGGAATCAAACTCAGGACCCTGTGCTTGCCAGGCAGGCACTTGTGCCTCTGAGCTACATCCCTGGCACACACTGCCCACCTTCTACCCTGTCCATTCTCGCTTCAGTCCTACCTCTGGACCCCAGGTGACAGACCTCTGCCTCCTTCCCTCTTTTCTTCCAAACCTCCAACTCCCAATCCTCATCAGCCCCCAACCCCTTATCCCTGTCCACCCCTGTGCTTCCCCAACTCCTGCACCCAGTGACCAAGCCCTAGCCCTTACCACCAAATCCCACTGTAAGAGGTCAGACAGTCCTCGCCTCCCCTCTCCAGACAGGCCTCAGGGGGCTTCCAGGTACCCCAGCTGCATCACGTGGGTCAGTGTTGACAGTGGACTGAAAAAGGACCTAGTGCTTCCAGTAATAGGCTGAGTCCTCTGATCATTCAGGGGCCCTGGAGGACATGGGTTGGAGCAGGGATAAGGAGCCAGGACCCCGACCCAAGAGCCTGCAGCTGCTGGGCTGCTGACCGATCAGGCATCTTAAGACAGGCTTACCACAGGCCCCGCCCCAGGGTGGGGCGCTCTGTGCAGCCCAGGAGGCCGGCAGGCAGGAGCTTGCTGGGAGTGACCAGGGCAGCAGGGCTCAACTCCTTCCACCCAGGGCCTGGGGGCCACAGCCCTGCTTGGGAAGATGCAAATGACATCAAATCTTGAATGTGCACCTATTTGTCCCCGGAAATAGGGCTCCCTCTCACCCTCTTCCTGCCCTACAGTCAGCATCAGAATTCCGTGGGGTGTTATTCAGACGGCAGGCCCCATCTCCAGTGTTTCTCCCTCAGTGGAGCTGGCACATAGCCTGGGAATCTGCATTTCTAGCTGATGTTGAGGGTCCAGGGACCCTTGCTGAGCGCTGCTGCTTGGAGTGGAGCATCTTCGGTGCCCAGAGCCCTGCCCGGGCCCATCAGCCTGAATGAGATGCCCCAAAGGGCTTGCTCACTGGTTGGCTGCTGAGACCCTCAGACCCCTCGAGCTCCACCCAGCAGGTGCTCCATAAATACCTGATCAGCCGTGACCAGCTTCTTAGCACAGGCGCGTGGGAGGGGAGCCGGCCCTGCAGCGCAGGAGCGCGGGCTGGATGTATTAGGTACATGCTCGTGCCCCATGAGCTGGGTTTTACACAAGTGTTCACACTGAATCCTGAGCAGGCTGGCACAGAGCAGGGCTTGGCAGCATCTGTGGTCAGGGATGGGGCTGGGCCTGGCACTAGAGTCGGTCTGGCCTTCATGGCTGAGATGTCACGCTGCCCTGAGGCCCTCAGCTGACTGTCACAGCTCTGTCAAGGCAGGAATGACGAATGGCTGAATGAACACATGAACGCAGACTCCAGAAAAGGGAAAAGGTGTCCAAGAGGGCTGAGCAAAATGCTACAAACTCGGTGGCTTGAAACAAAAGGCACTCAGCCAGGCATGGTGGCATATACCTGGGACCCCAGCACTTTGGGAGGCTGAGGCAGGAGGATCACAAGCAAGCGCCCAGCATCAAGAGATAGGTTAGTGGCTTGGGAGACTCTATCGCAAAACTGAATAAAAAGGGGGTGGGGATGAAGGTCATTCTGAACGCCCTAGCTTCAATTCCCAGGACCGAAGAAACAAAAATCCAAATGGAAATACCAACCAGGTACTTATTCTTGGCTTGGGAGGTCAGAATTCTAAGGTCAAGGAGTGGGCAGGGCTGAGCTCCCTTGGGAGGTGCCAGGGGATGGCCCTCTGCCCCTTCCAGCTTCTGGGGGCTGCTGTGCTCCCTGACTGTGGCCACATCACTCTCGTCCCTGCCTCCTTCCCCAGAGCTCACCATGCTGAGCTCCTAGGAGGCGCCCGGTGGTGCCTTGAACCCCCAGTGGTCCCAGTGGGACAGTGGTGCAGGCACCAGCAGTGGTCAGAGCCGCCTGGCAGCGAGGCAGACATGCATGCTAGGCCTTGGGAATATGGCCCTGGGTGGAGCGGAGGTGTGGGGGGCTGGGGCCCCGGGCGGGCGCATATGATGTTCACACAGCCACAGGCTTCCCAGCAGCTACGCCGCTCACTCTTCCCCCAGAGCGGGCCCTGTGAGAGGCGCCGAGGAGCCCTGCACCAGGGCTGGGGCTTTGTTCTCCTTAATCTGGCTCAGGGGTGTGGGCACGGCCCTGTCACTGCCCAGGCTCCCTCATTAGCTGCCCATTAATGTGCATGACTTAGAAATTGGCCACTGGACCGTGAAATTCCAGGCAATGGGGAAACCTCTTAATTCCGAGGGGCTTTGATATCCGCCCCTTGCAGGTGGCATCACAGCGCTCTGTGACCTTTCCCGTGGCCCCCTACACTCAGCCCAGCCCAGCAGGCCTGGCACCAGCTCTAGTGTGGAAGGCAGGCAAGGGGGTGCAAAGGGGCCCTGGGACCACCCAGGTAGGGGCACACAGCACCTGCTCAGGAGCACCCTGCACCATACTGCCACCTCCATTCTGCATTCCCTGTGGATCAGGGGCTCCTGGGGACCGCTCCTTCCTGCCCACAGAGTGTATCAGGGAACACCCAGAGACTGTCAAAGGGCTCTTTCCCAACTGTGCTCATACCCTTTAGGAAGTTCTGGGTCAGAGGGCAGGCAGGACTCTGCAGCCAGCACCAGGAGAACAGAAGCCTTGTCCCTGGCTGCTTCTGTGACACCTATGATGATGGTCCTTCCTTTCTGGGGCTGCCGGGTGGAGCTGCTGGGAAGGCTGCTGCTGCGTGGGGCTGCGTGGGGAGGCTGCATGCTGGGAACTGCATGCCTGCTGTTGCTGTTGAAGCAGTAGTACACACCACCTTCCCCTGTATGTGTCTTGTCTTCTAGCCTCTGCCCAGCTGGAATCTTCTAGAATGTCTGTGGAACCGCAGCTGCTCCAGGACTCTAGGGGTCCTTCTCAGCTGCCATGCCCGCCCCTCCCTGGAGTCCCAGAGTAACGGGTTACGGCAAGGTGGGAAATCCTGTCTTGCTCCCCACGGAAGCCTGGCGGCCTAGAGACGCTCTCAGAGCTGTGTCCTGAGCTGGCAGGGCTCTGGCAGGCCCTCCACGCCTCAGCCCAGTCAGGCCTGCTCTGCAGCTTTCAAGCCTGGCGTGGCCCCCGAGCAGCTTGGCAGATGCACTCAAGGAGCAGAGTAAGGCATCCGTGTCCTGCTGTGCTGGGGCCCCTGCACTCTGGAGCGCGGGGGCCCCGTCAGCAGCCGCTCACCCAGGCCCCGAAGTCTTCCCATGGGCATGCATGCCACCTCAGGGATCGAGAAGCCCAGCATGGTCAGCACATGAGCGCCCAAGATGTCCTCGTCCCCACCGGCTGAGCTTGTAAGAATGTGAACTAACATAAAGCTCTTCCCGGCCAAAGGCCTCTGAGTTACCCAGGTGGGTGAATGTCATCAATGTCCTGGGAGCAGGACACCAGGGTCAGAGGTCAGAGAAGAAAGGCAATGTGCAGACAGCGGGGTGGGTGTGGGGGAAGACAGGAAGGGGCCGAGAGCCGAGTCTCAGCAGCTGCTGGGCTGGGGAGGTAGGAAGCAGATTCTTCTGCACAGCCTACTGGGGGACGAGCACACGGACTTCTGCCAGTGAGATCACTGTCAGGCTCCCAACGTGCCCAAATATGAAGCAATCGTGTTGTTCTGAGCCCTTGGGGAGCCTACAGGGCCCTGTGTCCCAGGCCTACCTGAGGGACCGAGCCGTGGGCTCCCACCCCCACGGCCCTCCCATCCCGCCTCTGGCACGGCTGTTGCAGGAGCCCCAACCTGAAGGGTAGGAGAGCACGGGCGCCTCCTCACAGCCCCTCTGCACCTGGCCCTCCAGCCTGCTGGAGCGGGTGGGCTGGCAGGGCACAGAGGAGCAACAGGGTCTGCATCCACTGGCTCCCAACCCCTGGGATGGTCGCTCAGGCTGGGGCCTGAGGGTCCAGAGCACCTCCCTGGTCTCCACCCCAGGGCCGCCTGGGAGCCACCTGCTCATGTCCCCTGGGTGGGGGCGGGGGTACCTGTGTGCACTTGAGAGGACGGGAGAACTGGCGTGAAACTGTCTTGACCGTAACCTGCCAAGTATAATTTGTCAAGTTATACCGACGATGTTATACGACTGCCTCCGCTAATTCCAGAGCACTTCCCACCCCCCGAAAGAAAGCGCCTAGCCTGGCCCGGCAGCGAGCCCCCTGCTGTGTCCTTGGGTCTGTCTGCCCTGGACATGCGGGAACACGTTCATACGAGATGTGGCCTCTGCATCACGCCTTCTCAGCCCTCTCCCCCACAGCAGGGGGCGCAGGTCTCCAGAGGCCACGGCACCCAGATGGCCGTGTGGCTCTGCCCCGTGGCCACTGTGCACACCCTGGCTGTGAACTTTGTCCCGGAGGTTTCTGACTGTCTGCTCATTTTCATTTCCCTGAAAACATGCCCAAGAGTGGAGCTACTGGTTTCCATGGTAACATCACCCCCAAGGAGCCCTCCCAATGAGTAGGTGACTGGGCGAGAAGCCCCGAGGTATGTCTTTCCACAACAGCCTCCTGCAATGCCTGTATCCCCAGCTCATGAAACCAGTCTTCTCTATTAAGATCTACTTGGAAGCGCATTTTAAAAACAATCCAGGATTGTGCCACTTCTCTGGAAGTGTCTGCTTGGCATGCACACGGACAGGCAGCCTGCCCTCCAAGAAGTCCTGCTCTCCATTCTGCATCCAGCTGATCCGGGTCAAGGGCCCTCTGGCTGGTGGGCTTCCTCTGCCAGCCAGGGTCAGTGAAAGCTGCCCAGCATGGAAGGCCTCA